TTATATATAGTTAATTTAATATAATTATTGATATATTTATTTTTGAAATTTTTTGATATTTTCAAATTTATATTTTATTAAAAAATAAAAACATTATCCCTTTCTCTAAACAATATAAAAACTATATTATAACATCTATAGAGACGAAACAAAACATTAAAATTTAGATATATTTTGTTATATTGCTTGAGTATCCTTCTTGGAATAAAAAATACAATCATATCTTTTGATGAAACCGGGTCAAAAAGAACGGTTACGGGTTGAAAGAGCATCCGGTTTGTGTTACTGGAATGGGAATGGAAATGGAAATTGGACAGTCAACAAACGAAATGAAACGAAACCCTAGCAACAAGATGCAGAGAGACTAGTGTAAGTGTTCGATTGAAAAATGGGTGAAATTAGAAGAAGCCATGGAGAAGACCCTGAAGACGACCACCACCACAAGAAACCTAAACTATCACCATTCATCACTCAATCCCAAATCCAACAAGAGTTCGCTCATCACCAGCAAGGCGTTGCCCGTCTAAACAACGGCAGTTTCGGCAGCTGCCCAGGTTCCATCATCGCTTCTCAGAAACGCTGGCAGCTCAAGTTTCTGCAACAACCCGATGATTTCTTCTTTAACCAACTACCTACCCAAATCCTTCGTTCCCGAACCCTAATCAAGGACCTTATCAACGCCGATGACGTCTCCGAAGTATCCCTCGTTGATAATGCCACCACCGCCGCAGCCATTGTTCTCCAGCACGTCGGATGGGCATTCGCCGAAGGCCGTTTCCACAAAGGAGACGCCGTTGTCATGCTTCATTGTGCCTTCCAAGCCGTCAAGAAATCCATCGAGGCTTATGTCACCCGGGCAGGTGGCTCCGTCATCGTCGTACAACTTCCTTTCCCTATTCACTCCAACGAAGAGATCATCTCCGAGTTTAGAAAAGGCCTGGCAAGGGGAAAGGCCAACGGTAGGAAAGTTAGGTTAGCTATAATTGATCACATAACCTCCATGCCCTCCGTCATAATCCCCGTTCGTGAATTGGTAAGGATTTGCAGGGAAGAAGGAGTGAGTGAGGTGTTTGTGGATGCTGCCCACGCGGTTGGTAGTGTCTCGGTTGATGTCAAGGATATTGGGGCCGATTTCTATGTCAGTAATTTGCACAAGTGGTTTTTCTCCCCTCCATCCGTGGCTCTTCTTTACTGCCGGAAATCCTCCTTGTCCTCGGAGTTGCACCACCCTGTTGTATCGCATGAATATGGAAATGGATTGGCCATAGAGAGTGCCTGGATAGGGACACGAGATTACAGCTCTCAGCTGCTTGTTCCCGAAGTTTTAGATTTCATCAACAGGTTCGAAGGCGGGATTGAGGGAATTAGAAATAAGAATCATAATGCTGTTGTTGAAATGGGAGAGATGCTGGCTAAGGCTTGGGGCACGAGTCTGGGTTCACCTCCTGAAATGTGTCCCAGCATGGCTATGGTTGGCCTGCCTTCCTGTTTGGGGGTTTTAAGCGATACCGATGCTTCCAGGTTGAGGGATCATCTGAGAGACGAGTTTAGCGTGGAAGTTCCTATACACTATCAGCCACTGAAAGACGAGGTTGGAGCAAGGGACGAGGGTGGTGGTTTTATCACAGGCTATGCTAGAATTTCTCATCAGGTTTACAACACCATTGATGATTATATCAAGTTCAGGGATGCCGTCAACCAGCTTCTGCATGATGGTTTTGATTGCAAGATGCTTGGTAGAGAATAAATAAAGCTGGTATGTCATCACCACATAAACTCAGCTTCTCCGTCATTTCCATTCCTTTCAGATGAAAGAAAGAAGAAAAGAGAAAGTAGACATAATTGTGATATGTTGTGTAGAATGACAGACAGAATGGTGATATGTTGTTTGTATGAGGATGTTAATGTTTTGTACAACAATATTCTTTACAAAAATATCAACAGGCAGGTCTTTTTAGCTAATATGGTGTTTTTTGGGTTCCATACACATTCAAGATACTCCCTTTCTTTACATGGAAATCAAATAAGTAGAGAATAGATAGGGATTGTGGCAGAAGTGGTTAATGGTTTTTGCATTCGTCTTATTAGGTGAAATGATCATTAGATGTGGTCATGGTCATCTGAGAAGAAAATGGAAGATATATATAGGGCCAAATTAAGCAAGTAAAAGAAGCCTTAAATGTGTAATGGCTACGGATTCACTTTGAATTCATGCTTGACACTTGTTTATCTCTATTGCTAGGTTAGGCAAGCAGTGGAGTGGATGCTACCTTGTAAAAAATAGTGATGCATTTTATGTTTCTGTTTCTTGTTGCTGAATTAACCATCATAAGCCATCAAATATGACAGGAAAACAAGTTTCAGGCATATATAAGTTGATGTTGGTATCATACCAAGTCCCTTTGCTTGTAGTATATGATATGACACTTTTCTGGTTTTTCCAACTTCGGATCAAGTCAAGCTAGTTGCACTTTAAGGTAGCGTTTGGTACGCAGACATAATTGGACACGACTGGACATAACAAGACAGGACTGGACAGAACATGAGTATGTCTGGTGTTTGGTAGGACTAGGACCGGATGGGACATAACTAGACAAGCTACCTCCAAAAGTTATTTGATGATTTTAAATATTATTTAATAAGTTATAATTAATACTAATGAAGTGAATAATTAAATTTATAAATATTTGTACATAATTATTATATTTGAACCAAATTTGAATGAAAATTTTGCTATAATTGATGGTGGTAGTGGTGGTGGTGGTGGAGGTGGTTTTGGTTATGGTGGAGGTGGTGGTGGCCGGTAGTAGTGGCAACGGGCTGTGGTGGTCGGTGGCCGAAAGTAGGAGTGGCGATGGTGGTCGGTGGCCGACAGTGGTTATGGAGGTATAGGTAGTGGTGCTTGGTGGACGACATAGAGGATATGAAGATGGTAGATTGTGGTGGTGGTGGCGGTTGACAACGGTGGAAGTGGTAGTTGTGGTTGATGTAGTGAAGATAGTGGTGGTGATGGTTATGGTGGAGGTGAGGTGGCAATGAATGATGGTGGTCGTGGAGGTCGTGGAGGAGGTTGTTGCAGTAGAGGAGGAGTTGAAGGTGGCGAATGGCGGTAGTGGTGGTGGCAATGGACGGTGGTGGGCGACTATGGTAGAGGTGGCAATGGACTTGGTGGACGGTGGTTGTGGAGGTGGTGGAGGATGTTGTTGTAGTGGAAGAGGAAGTAGAGGTGGAGGTGGCCGCCGGTAGTGGTGGCGGCGGCCGAAACTAACGGTGTTGACCATTAAAACAAATACTATATTAAGGTTATATATCAAACTAAGGTAGATTAGTAATATTATAGTTTATGTCTCATTCTTGTCCCATCTTGTTCCACCTAAGAAAAAACCTCTTTTGTCCCATGTTGTCCCACTTTGTCCCAGTTTTTGTCTCAGTCCCATGTCGCGCCGAACGTGTGACAGTGAATTCTTGTTCTGTCCCATGCTGCGCCAAACATGGGACATTGAGTTTTGTCTCGTCCTGTCTCGTCCCATGTACCAAACGCAGCCTAAAATGCAATCGGGTTTTTGGTCGGGTTATGTTATGGTTGGCTCATAAGAACAGGTTTATCTTTTGTTTTAGTGTCAAAGAAAAATGTGATTCAAGGGCAGTCTGGCATCCGAGTTGGAGGATGGTTTATAGGTTTGGTTTTCAAAGAGGCTGATGGACCTACCTAATAATAAGCTTCCACGAATGACATGACTGAGGGCGAACCTAAAACCCAGTATTACAAACATCATTCTTATTTGATTTTTATTCTTTTACTTTTTCTTTTCTGCAACAGGTATCATTACTTTGTGGATACTTTCAAAAGCAAGTATGCCACAAATTGGTTGGTTGTCCTCCACTTTGTACAATGAATTCATTTGTCATTGACTTTCTTTAAAAGTACACAAACTAACAATATAAATATATATATTCCAAAAATAATATGAAATAAAAATTATGGGGATGGGGGTGGGGGTGGGTGTGCGTGCTATATCTGCTACTGCCTCATCTTTGTTTGATAATTGATATTATACAATAAAAGAAGACAAAATTAGAATGCTTTGCTACTTGGATGAGGTCATGTGAAGCGCAACTAAAGATGCGTAGGATCCGTCCTTGATATTGATTAGATTTTCATGCTTCCCTTTCTCGACGATGACTCCATTCTTGACGACTGCAATCACATCTGCTCCCTTAATGGTTGACAAGCGATGAGCAACCACGACTGTGGTCCTGTTAACCATTACCTTATCCAACGCATCTTGAACCACTCTCTCCGACTCTGCATCCAGTGCGCTTGTAGCCTCATCTAGTAATAGTATCTTGGGACTCTTCACAATCGCTCTAGCAATCGCTACTCTCTGTTTCTGCCCACCTGACATTTGCACTCCTCTCTCCCCTACCACTGTATTGTAACCCTGCAATTCACACGTCATTGCTACCACTGATGAAATGAAACTGCTCGTATTAGCAATGTCAACATAAAAATACTCTTCCTCACCTGGTGCAACCCACTGATGAACTTGTGGGCATTTGCCAACTCGGAAGCAGCTAGTATTTCAGCCTCAGTTGCATCACCGTCTTTTCCATAACTAATGTTGGCTCGGATGGTGTCATTGAACAACACAGGTTCTTGGCTCACCAGACCCATCTGCAGCCTCAGCCACTTGAGTTGAAACTTCTGTATCTCGGTTCCATCCAGCGTGATACAACCAGAATCCGGATTGTAAAATCTTTGCAATAGTGAGATTACTGTTGATTTCCCGCTTCCACTCTCTCCAACCAATGCCACTGTCTGAAATGAAAGATGGCAACACCCACACAGATTTTAGCAAATACTAACATGTTGCTCAAACTGTAACATGGAAGGTTTAATGTGGCTACCTTGCCGCTATGGATGGTCAGACATAGATCACGGAATATCTGAACATCAGGTCTGGTAGGATACTTAAAGCTAATGTGACGAAGCTCAATTTCTCCCTTAACATGGTCCAATGTTAACCCAGATTCATCACTTGGGTCTATCTCTGACTTGCGATCTAGCATGGCAAACACGGACACAGCAGAACTCTTGGCTTTGCTTGTATCTGGGGCAAAGGAGCTTGATTGAGAGACTGCTACGGCTGCCATTGTCAGAGCAAAGAATACCTGCCACAAACGTGAACTAAATTAGTAAATTGCATTCTCTATGGAATTACAGGAAAGTATGTATTACTCACCCTGAAAACATCTGAGAATGTAGTCTTGCCATCCTCAACAAGCCGAGCTCCAGCATAAAAGCTGGCTGCGTACACACAGAAAAGTAAGAAAAAGGACACTCCAAATCCAATCCCGCTGATCAAACCTTGCTGTATCCCTGTTTTCTTGGGACCCTCACATTTATTTCTGTAAAGTTCCATCACTTTCTCTTCTGCACAAAAGGAAGCGACCGTCCTTATGCTTCCAACTGCATCGTTTGCCACCTGACTTGCTTCCTCATACATTATCTTAGCATCAGCACTGAAGCCTTTCATGAATTTCATCTGAACGTACCCGTTAACTCCTATTAGGGGAACCAGAGCAAGTATTATGAGTGCCAACTGCCAACAAGCTGCAAAGGCAATGGCCAAACCAGCAGCAGCAGAGGATGAGTCCTGAACAAGCTGAGCTAGTGCATCTCCGACTAAACCACGAACACTGGCTGCATCTGCTGACAGCCTGGCACCGATTGCTCCGCTGGAGTTTTCCGGCTTATCAAACCAACCTACCTCCATGTTAATCACCTTCTCGAAGCATAGTGATCTGATCCTTCTTATTAGTTTAGATCCAGCAACAGAGAAAAAATATGATCTCCCAGGAAAAGCTAAAAATGATACCACTCCCAGGACTACAAACATTAGAGCCCAGAACCTCGAGTCGGTCTTCATTTTATCGGGTGGTTCATAGAAGGTCTTGATCATGCTAGAAATCAGTATGCCAAAGACCGGGAGGACTGCTCCATTAATAATAGCAGCTATCGCACCCAATATGAGCACTGGTATCTCTGGCTTGTTGAGATAGGCAAGGCGGCGGAGTGGGACTTTGGGAGGTTTTTCTGAACCTTCCTTTGCTGGAGAGGCTTCAATCTCCATGGATTCAGCTGTAGAGACACCCAACTGTGTAGGCATACCAAACGAGATAGATATTGAGCGGCGACTGCTATTTCCTATGCTAGATGAGCCCCGGCTTATTGACCGCTGGTAGGATGTCCTTTTATCTTGGTCCTCTGGCCCATTCTGTCTTGAATCATTGTTGATGTCTTGCAATTTTATAAGTTGCGAATATGCTCCTTCAGGATCCTGGAGTAGCTGCGAATGTGAACCTGATCAAAGATCAGCTACTAATTGTTAAATGTTTGAATTTATCCAGCATTTAGGACCTTTGAAAATAAAGAACTACATCATCAACATCAAATGTTAGATATGCGGGTGGACTGAGCGTAAAACTACCTTTCTCAACCATCTTGCCCCGATGAATGACTGCAATCATATCAGCATTTCTCACTGTGCTTAAACGATGTGCAACAATGACGGTTGTTCTATTGACCATTATCCTGTCCAATGCCTCCTGCACAATTCTCTCGGATTCTGCATCAAGTGCACTTGTTGCTTCATCCAGAAGCAGGATTCGAGGATCTTTAAGAATTGCTCTAGCTATAGCAATTCTTTGCTTCTGTCCACCTGAGAGCTGTGTTCCATGCTCACCAACCATGGTGTCCAGTCCCTGAATGTTCGAAAACCAAGCAAGAATTGATGAGAATGTTAAAGAAGAGCAAAGTGAAGAAATATTATAGGTGAAAGTCTTTAAAGTTAGAAACCTGAGGTAGTTTATCAATAAATTTAGCAGCATTTGCTAGCTCCACTGCAACTCTAATCTCATCCATAGATGCACCATTTTTCCCGTACAAAATATTATCCTTAATGCTGGATGCAAACAGGACTGGTTCTTGGCTAACAAGACCAATTTTCTCCCTAATCCATTTTAGTTGGAATTCTTTGAGATTTACATTATCAATAAGAACCTCCCCTGCTTGAGGATCGTAAAATCTCTCTATTAGGCTGATCACTGTTGACTTTCCACTTCCACTTTCTCCAACCAAAGCTGCAGTCGTGCCACTAGAGATGAAAAGAGAGAAGCCACTGAATATTTGCTCATCTGGTCTTGCCGGATAAGTAAAATACACATCCTTTAACTCTACATCACCACGAATATCGCTCAATACTTTCCCCCTTGTGTCATACGCATCTATTTCAGGCTTTCTGTTTATAGTTTCAAACATCTTAAAAGCTGCTGCCCGACCTGCAGCAAATGCACTCAAACAGGGAGACGCCTGCCCAAGAGACCTGGAACAAAGAAAGCTCAAAAGTTAACATGATTTAATGCAATTACAAGTTATTGACAAAAGAAATTAAGTCATACTAAAGACAAAGAACTCACATAGATCCAGTGAGCACAGCAAAAATTACAGTAAGGACAGTCCCCCCAGTGTACCCCCTTTCCAGTACCATCTTTGCACCATACCAAACAGCCAAAGCATAACTACAGAATACAATGAGCATCATGGATCCAAGACCAAGGCCAGCAGCCAGTCCTTCATGAACACCAGACTTGTAAGCATCTACAAGGGTCTCATTGTAATTTGCAACAGCTTTTTTCTCGCCTGTGAAAGAAGCAACCTATCAAGAAGACAATCATATGTTTAATGATAACATAATAGTGCTAGGGAGGTAAGAAAATGATGTAAAAAAGCTTTTTGCTTGATTGATATTTATAAGTAATTACCGTCCTGATTGAGCCAATTGTCTGCTCGACAACATTGGCTGCTTTAGCATAAGCATTTTGACCCCGTGATGCCATCTTGGATATGATTACTGACATGACTCCACCAGAAATCACCAACGGAGGAATTGAGGTTAACATAACAAGTGTAAGAAGCCACCCTTTGATGAATGCAATCACAAAACCTCCTACAAACGTTGCCAGTAGCTGTGTGAATTTCCCAACCTGCAAAACCAGATAATAATTAATATTGTCAAATGCTTAGAATGAATGAGTGACAAAGCTTACCTTCTCCCCCATGGCATCTTGTATGAGGACGGTATCGCCAGACATCCTGCCAACAACTTCCCCTGTATTTGTTTCTTTGTCAAAGAAGGAGACATCTTGTCTCAATATGGTCTTCAGATACAGATTTCTTATTCTTGCAGCCTGTCTTTCTCCCGTTACCATCCACATTGCCACCTCTACAAACACACACACACACAATTTTTTGAGCAATATATACAAGGAATTATCATAGGTGCAGTAGAAGCTGATGATATATACATATATGTATGTATGTATATAACATTTCTAGCTACTTACGGAGGAATGATGCGACACCAGCCCCAATTGCCAGGTAAACAAATTTCAGCGATACCTATATAAGTTGATTCATGATCACATCAATAATAGGTAGGTAATGGTATTGAAATGGGTGATGAATGGAAACAAATAAAGAATGGAGTGTACCTTGGAAACAACATGGACCACATCGTTAGTATTCTGGTTCTGACCAAAAGCATCAATAAGGTCGCCGAAAAGAATAGTCATGAGGGGCATGCATATTCCATTACCGATGGCACCGAGGGTGCCCGCGATCATCAACATGTGATCACTGGAATCTGCAAAAGCAAAGAGCTTGTAAAATGGGACAGTATATGTGCTCTCCTTTTGTTTTTCCTGGGGTTGAACAGCATCAGCATCAGCATCAGCATCACCAGAGGTGGAGGTGGAGGCCTTTTCTTTACTACCGGCATTCATCATACCGGCTTATGCGATGATTGGTAGGTTTGCAGCCAAAAGAATGAACCTATATGAGGAAAATCAGGATATTTAACGCCACAAAATACGGAGTAAGTGGGAATGCAAAAAGAATAATATTAATATTGGATTATGGAAATCCAGATCCAAACTGGGCTCCAGTGATTTTGGAAAAGAAAAAAGAAAACCCAAAATAAGTTAAAGATTATGTAATATGTTTTACTGTTTATTTTCATTAGTCTTGTGATAGACATAGGATAGGGGTGAAAGAAAAGCAATGAAGATGAGTTGTTTTGATTGTATACATGTGAAAAGTGAAGAGGAGGATTGATGAATGGTAGCAGTAGCAGTAGAAACATCCGTATGAAATAAGAAAGATGAACTCACCACAAGTTTTGCTTTTGTTTTTGTTGGATGGTCAAGTTTATATGATTGAAAGGAAAGTTGATGTAGTATGGACCTATACCCAGTAGACAACTAGCCAAGAAAGAGAGGATGGTGGGTATAATATGTGCTATTCACAGATATATATATATATATATATATATATATATATATATGTATAAAGAAAGAAAAGTAGAGACCAGAGGAAGATGGATTGAAAAGGTTTTGCTTAAAGAGCAAGGGTGGTTGAATTTGAAAATGGTCAAACCTCGCTTTCTTCCTTGCTTGGGTGTAGAATTAGGAGATATGATTTTTGTTGAAAATTAAAATTATCTTTGTTTTAAGAAAACAAAAAGAGATTAGGGTTTATAGAGTATCAATTTCTTCATATTTAGTGTTTGTTTTAATATAAAATTTATGATTGTGTTTATGACACCGAGAGGAAAAGGAACTTCTTGTAATATATGATATGATTTAATAAATAAATTAATAATAATAATAATAATAGAAAAAGTTGCAAGGAAGAAAGGAGGAAGAGGGGAGTTGGCATATGCATACGCACTGGCATACGTAATACAACATCTACTTTTATTATTTTTATTTCTTGATTAGCACGTACCATTTGATTAATTATCACACAAGTTTATTTAAAAATAATCTATATTTATACTATATTATAAATCATTTGGCTCATTCTCTTAAAAAACAAATTATCATGCATAAGCTACAATTAATTTATGCATATTAATTAAAAATCAAAAATACCAGTTAATTATGCATATGTACATATTTTTAAAGCATACCACTCTCATTGAAATCTTAATAAGTCCTTACAATCTCTCTAATTCAACTAACATCCCTATAATCTCTTTTTTTTCAAAGAGTATCATTGTTGATTTTATGTTTAATGAGTGATTTTGACTCAATATCTATACTATATTATAAAACATTTGACAAAAATTCTTAAAAAACCTTTTTATGCGTAAAGTACTGTTTATTAATGCAAATTAATTAAAACTCATGCAAGTAGATTGTGCATAAGTATAATTTATTAAACTTCCATATCTGAATTCGTTCAACTAACTGCAGATAAACATAATCAAATACATGATAAACATCTTATTTTAAATATAAAAAATCTAAAATATAATTAGGATAATCATTGAATTCTAAGAGAATACTTAATTATTATATTTATAAAATGTTATATTATTAAACCAAAAATAAATTATTTCATTATTAAACTTAAATTAAATTATAATAAAAATAAATTAAATAAATTACATAAAAATGAAAACTTTTAGATAGTTGATTTGACATTAACATTAATATATATATTTTTAAATTTTTATGATATCTTCAAATGTATATTTTATTCAAAAATAAAATCATTATTGCTTTCTTAAAAACACATAAAAACGTATTATAACATCGACATAAACAAATAATAAAATAGAACACTAAAATCAAGATGTGTCTCGCTGCATTGCGCGAATACTCTTATAGTTTCTTATAATCATCGTCAACTTCCTTTTCCCAAAGCTTGGTTGCTTCTCTTTTAATGTAAGTTTCAACCTCATGGGTTTTGACCATTGCTTCTGATTAATTTATGGTTTGTATAGATTTTTGCTTCTTTCTTTTTGACTCACTACGTATTGATTCTCTATGGTTTCTTTCTTTGGTTCTTTATTGGTTTAGGTTTACTTTCTCGAAGCTCGATTGCTTCTCTTTCAATGTAAGTTTCAACCTTATGGGTGGCTATATTGCTTGACCATTGCTTGATTGATTTATGATTTGTACTGATTTAAATAGAATTGTTTTTGATCTATTATGTTATGGAACACAAAGTTCACATAAATCATTTGACAAAAACTCTTAAAAATCATTTTATATGTATAAAGTACAGTTTGTTGATGCATATTACTTACAATTCAAGATCACAAGTAAATTGTGCATAAATACAACTTCTTAACGTTTCATTTTTGAATTTGTATAACTAACTATAGATAAACACAATCAAATATTCAAAAATGGGATAGACATCTCATTTTGAATATAAAAAATCTAAAATATAATTAAGATAATCATTAGTCATAACATAATACTTAATTACTATATTTATAAAAAATATATTATTAAATGATAAATAAATTACTTCGTTATTAAATCTAAATAAAATATTGAATTAAAGAAATTAAACAAAAAACCAGAACTTTAAATAGTAAATTTGGAACTAATATCGACATATATTTTTTGTCCAAATTTTTATGGTATATTTAAACTTATATTTTATTCAAAAATAATAACACTATTGTTTTCTCAAAACCACTAAATACCATATTATATCGACATAAATAAATAATAAAACGAAACTTTAATTTAAAATATATCTTATTATATTATGCGAGTACCCTTTCAATAATATTATAAGATATTGGAATGGAAGTCGTTGGTTGGCAAGTAATAGAACATTCATGGTAAGTAAATCAATAAAGATAGCAATGAGTTTGAATAGAAAAGTATATGAATATGAATATGAATATGAATATGAATATGAATATGAATATGAATATGAATATGATGTATGGTTATTTGAGTTTCAAACGTAATATTAAAGTCAAACCCCACTACTACGATTCCAAGCTAAGTTAAAAGATGCTTCCATTCCATTTCATTCATTCATTCTCTTTCTCTCTCTCTCTCTCTATATATATATATATATATACTTATACAATGCAGCAAGATACATATTTATTTTAATGTTTTATTTTATTTTTTGTCTTTGTTGATATAATACGGTTTATGTAGGTTTGAGAAAAATAATATTTTTACTTTTAAATAAAAATAAATTTGAAGACATCATATTTTTTTTATAAATATATTGATATTAATATCAAATTAACTATTTAAAAGTTATTGTTTTTATATAATTTATTTTTTATTATAATTTAATTTACGTCAAATAGTGAAGTAATTTATTTCTGACGTAACAATAAATTTTTTATAAAGATAATTATTCTGTTAGAACTCGATAATTATCCTAGTTATATTTTAAATTTTAAAATGAGATGTTTATCCTCTATTTGATTATGTTTATCCGCAGTTAGTTACACAAATTCAAACATGGAGCTTTAATAAGTTGTACTTATGCATAATTTACTCGTAATCTTGAATTTAATATGCATCAATGTACAGTACTTCATGCATAAAAATAGTTTTTAAGAGATTTTATCAAATATTTTATAATATACTAGAAGCGTACTCGCGCAATGCAGCGAGATACATCGTGATTTAAATATTTCATTTTAGTCTTTATCTCAGTCGATGTTATAATATGACTTTATGTGATTTTGAGAAAGCGATGATGTTTTTATTTTTGAATAAAATATATGTCTGAA